GAAGGACCAGCAATATATGGACTTAGACGATGGAAAAAGGAATGGCTTTCATTATTGTCGACGATGGCATCAGACCGCGCCGCTTGGAAGCGTCTTACCTTTTTAGCCGTTGAAGCCAGCTTAACCAGTAATGGTGAGTGCTGTTAGAAGAAGAAGACTGGCTATATAAGATTATATAGAGATTATATAAGATCCTGTCCAGTTTTTTTGTCATAGATTGTTATATATTTGATCCAATATGGACAATAAATGTGTGCTCAATGATTGATAGCTACAGGACAAGTGCTATCAAAAAAAGATTGATAAGTATCACTACAATTCTTATATTTTTTCTTTCTTTTAATAGCATTTACCACTTTTCATTTGGCTTGTTCCATTTGCTACTAGACTCTTTCACGGAAAGCTGCTTGGAACCACTTTACTGGCAGATTTACTCTTATAAAGAGGAAAAAATCGGGTTCTATAATAGATTGATCCAGTCGTACTATTCGGTCATCCCATCTTTTAGTTTTTCATTTTATTAACATAAGAAAACCTCAGCTTAACCAAGAAAAACTGGTTGGTTTTTAGTTAATATGGCAATGAATTGGTCAACGACGCAATAATTATGGCACTCTACAATAGAAGACGGTCTTATATCCTTGCGCAATTTTAAATTCTTTATCTATCCAGTATTCAGTAAACTCTTTGATAAATTTTTAGTATTTATAGTATTTTATACCAGTTTTTTCATCTTTTGATGATTTACTTTATTAAATAGTTTTCATTTATATTCATTCATTTACATTCATCAAAATCATTGAATAATAGATATTTTGTGAAATAAAATAAGTTGAATGGTTCAGTGGATGTGGATATTCTATTCCCGGTGTTACTGATTCTAGCAACTCTCACCATTACTACACTGGTTAGACTGGCTCCAACGACTGCAAGGGTAGGGGTAAGGCCGGTATTCCCGATAGAAAGGACTAAACCTTTCCTTTAAAATTTAATAAACCCGCTAATTTTTCTCTGATCATATAAAGAGTGGAGCACTGTTGAACTCACCTGGTAAATTGGTCAATTGTTTGAGCCAAAAATGATGATGCTTTTTAAATAAAAACATATTCCACTGGGAGACTGCTATTTCTAACAGAACATATTTAAAAAACCCCTTCGATTCGATTCCCTACCTAAAACTTATAAACTTATCATTCATTTTTTCACCGTCTAAACCGATGTTTGTTAAGAATCTATGTATTCGAATATATATTTATATAAACAAAATTAGTGATTAGTGTGGCTCACTCCTTTGGCTTTGCCATTAGTTCAGTGAGAAATTTTTGCCGTCAATTCACTTAGATAAACAATATATTATGAATTATGAAAATATTTTTTATAAAATTCATTACTTTTTGAAAAAATAAATAAATTATAAAATAATAAGAAATAATAATTATTAAATTATTAAAAAAAATAAAAATAAAATAGTTATAAATAAAAATTATAAGGAGAAAATAAATGGGTGTTTGTTTGGTTCTAGGCTTTTATCGTTTAACATTTTTTTATGCGAACGTTCACCATTTTTACGTGCTGGCTTGTCCGCTGGCTTGTCGAACTAGATTCTGCTAGGGAGTCACCATCATCTTATACAGTTGTAAATGGTCGTCAGCGATACTCATGTTGTTGAAAAATAGGTTTATTTCTAACCAGAAGTAGAGCTGCAACATCGACGTCCCGAAATGGAAGCGAAAATCCATTCAGCTATCAGTTTTCCACTATATTATATATTGTTGTACATTTATATCATATTGAAAATTTTTGTGACAAATTCTTACAAATAGTAATAATGCTTTTGATCTTATCGGATATTTAAAAATTTGATCTAAATATTTATTTTTTTATTCTTTTTAGAAAAAAAATTTAAAATAAATATGTAAAACATATTTAAAATATATATAAATATAAACAAAAAGTATTTAAATATAAGATAAAAGGCAAAATAAAATTCGAAAACATACCAAAATTTTAAGAATGCATTTTTCTAATTATTCATTATTCGAAAATTTTTTTAAAAGTTTGAAACTCAATTAAATGGTATTTTATTCCAAAAATGCTAAAAATATTTTGTTGCATTATTGCACTATAAAATATTTAAAATATTTTATATAATTTATTTACATTTCAATATATTTTATGCAGAATTTAAATATTTTCTGAATGAAAATGACTAAAATATTGGATTTATAAGTGAACTATAAGAAAATGAATGTAAAGACTTTAAAACTTTCACTTGTCTCAGCTTATTTTAGAACTTTCATTCGTAATCTGTGAGAATTATCCATCTAATTATGCATCTATCCGTCCATCTATCCATGCACCATCCAGCAAAAGCATTCATTTTATATTAGGCAATAGCGAAAATGTCCTATAATATAAAAGCCGATATATGATGTAATATGCCTTACGTACGATGAAACCATATATATATTTGCTATAGCTACCACAGCTGCTGCTTCTATATTTATTTGGTAGCAAGATCAAATTAGAAATATCACGAAGAAAGAAAGAGTGAAGATGAGAAGCTAGAGAAATACCAGAGTTTGAAAGAAGGACTAGAGAAGACATGGAAAGCCAAAATGGTCCCACTGGTCACGGCGTTGCGACTCCTAAGCTAGCTTCAACAATTCCAGGAATGATATCAGAGCACAGTACTAGCAATAACTAAGATATTCCGCAAATTCCTTAAACTCCTAGGCCTCTGCTAGAAGACCCAAGATTTCACGAAGATTTATATCACCCATAGCAGATAAAATAAGAAGAATAAGATAAAATAAGATAAAATAAGAAGGGATTTTTTCTTTTCATATGATGCATATTCATGCAAAATAAGCGAAGTCATACGATTCTCAACATTCTATCCAAATTTTACATCTGAATGAAAATTTTTTATTGTCTTCTTTTTATTATCTTCGGTGGACTGCAATCGAAACTATATTTTTGCGCTTCTTTTCGAAGTTCCACGGCTTAAATATAAAACGATTATCGAATTCACTTACTGAAGGAATCGATAAATATTTCCCTTGATTCAGCAAAACACAGGAAAGAAGAAACGAAGGAAGAAAGGAAAAAATGAAAGAAGGAAGGAAATATATACCAGATCGTTGGCCTTTTATATATATACTATATACATGTATAATATTGTTGAACAGCTGTGTGAGTGAAGAAGAATGGTGAACTCCGCCTATTGTGTGCCTTTAGACTCATAATAAATTTAATGTGTGTGGTGTGGCGTGGTGTGGTGTGGTGCCTTCTTCTAAACTACATAATACCCTTTAAATGTGTAATCAGCATCGACCAGGAGGCAGGCGATTATGATTCTTCGCACTTACCTCTGTAGTTATTTTATTTTATTCATTTGCTTACTTACTTATTTACTTTGCTCATTCCTTCATTGTTCAACGAAAATTTATTATTTCTTAATTTTTTAATTTTTCATTTTCGTTTTAATATTTTGTGCAATATAAAATTCACACAAATTTAAATATAAAATTTTTAAAAGATAACGTAAATAATAAATAATAAAAAAATTAATTATTATTGCATATTTTTTAAACTCATTTTTCGTTAAATATCACATTTTTTTAATGAAAAAATTTTGCAAAATCTCTTTTTTCTTTTAAATCAAATTTTTAATAAATTAATTTTTATTATTCATTTATTTATTAAAATATAAAAAATAATGAGAATTAATTTATTAATTATTATCTTAAAATTTATTTTCGATGATTTTTATGATTTTTTTCTACATAATCATAGTTTTTTCTTTTTAAATATTTTCAACAAAAATTTTCAATTTATCAACATTTTTTACTAATTTAATTTAAGAATTTAAGAAAATTTAAGAAAAAGAAGATATAAATTTAAACTTTTTCATTTCAAACTTTTCATTTTTAAAATTTTTTTCAAATTTTGACTTCTATTTAATTTTGAAATTTTTAGTCTAAAACTTTTTAAATTTAAATTTTGGTGAATTTCGCATAATAGATAATTCTTTCGTTTCGTCTTTCGGTGAATTTCATTTCAGACTAATCGCAATTATTTTTTATTTGATGTTTTCTGCTTTCAGTTGATACATTTCCATTATTATTATTGTTATTATTATTATTTTATTATTATTATTGTTATTTTATTATTATTATTATTATTGTTATTATTACCACTATTATTACTATTATTATTATTATTATTTATTGTTATTTTCATTATTTATATTAATTGTAATTAGAATTTCCTTGGAATAGTAGCCGAGCTGAAGTTATTAGCTCAGACTACCACGCTCAGAGCCAGTGGAGGACCTGGATATCCTAAAAAACTCGATATAAAAAACTGCTAATCGAACTGTCCTTCTACCACCAAGTGACTGCCAAGTAAAAATTTCTAATAGCCATCCTAGAACGAACTTAACTTTTTTATTAATTTAGAAAATATGCTTTTGTTTCGTTTATTTGTTTATTAAGATTTATCAAATTTGCAAAAGATTTGCTTTTTATTGAAAAATTTTTTTGCATAAATTTGATTTCAATAATTATATTTCAAATATTTGATTAAAGTAAAATTTTATTATAACGAAAAATATTTCATTGATTATCATAAATTATTTATTAAATTATTATTTATTATTAAATTATTTATTTGTTTAATATTTAAATAATTTTAAATTTTAAATTTTAAATAATATTCAAATAATTTTTAAATAATTAATCGTCGTATGCGAGGCGTTTTGCATATTTTTATTTTCATTGTATTGCACTAAGTTGCACGCACTTCACTGCACCACGCACTACATTGCGCTTCTTTGCGTTTTATAATTGCAAAAATATTTTTTTTAGACTGAATTCAGCGCAGAAACAATCAAATAAAGAAAATCAGTTGAAAAATACACTTTTTTTTAAAGGCAATAAATATAGAATATAAAACATTGAAATTATTTAATTCATGTGAAAAAAAGGCGAAAAGAAATGTCACCAACTAGAAATGGAGTTCCACGTCAGTCGTCAACATCAGACAAAGCATATAATTTAGAATCACCCAAGGTGCCATCACCGCCACCAGTATGTTGCAAAGTTCCAACGCCCAACATATCATCATCGTCAGTTTCTGGAGTTTCATCATCTTTTCAAATGAAACCACTAACATCACCTAAACTTCCATTATTTATACCACCAACTCAAGTGATTACGAAAACTTCACCATTTTTATCAATGTTTTCAAAAAAGAAAAGAATAAACGGGACAAAATCAGCTGATAATGATATTAAAGTGGCGTCAGTTGCTTTATTTGATCCATCAACAGCGAATGATTTTATTGATTCGGATAAAGACTCAGTAATAAACGATAATAATTACCATTTCAGTAGAAATTTTAACAATAAATTCAATTCATTAAATGAATCTACTGATAAAAACAATGATAATATTGATAACAATGGACAATTATTAATGAATCAGTCAAATCTGAAATTTTTCAGTAAATTTCGTCCTCAAAAATCTTTATATAATAATAAACTGAAAATGAATATTAATAATAATGTCAATAAAAATAAAAATTTGAAAGAAAAAAAAAAACAATCTAAAACTTCACCAAATTATCGAACAACAAAAGATATAAAGAAAAGTTATTTGAAAACTTCACATTCATTTGAAAGCGTCACGTCTTCATCATCGTCATCACTATCACCAACATCATTATCATTATCAGCATTGTCATTATCAGATCCACATTTAATGGAAGCACTTGAAATATTAGCGGATATGCCTCCACCAATTGTTGCTCGTTCAATACCAAAACATGCAACTATTGATACAACAAATTTCGTTAATCGTTCACTCGACAATTGTTTATTTGATTCATCAGTTTATGATGGAATGTTATTCGATTCATTAAAGGTTCAGTTTCCTTTATCTATAATATCTTCTTTTTCATAGATGAGACGAATTTTGCCAGAGGATCACTTGACGACTTAATTCCGAGGAGTAAACCTGTCTTTCAAAAATCCGGGTAATGCTGGCGTCTCACATATATTTTCATCGTCAAGTGACAAAATTCTCATGACTCATGGCAAAATTTGTATGATATGACAAATTTGATAAGGGTACCTCAAAAACAAAATTGATAGTAATAAAGAGAAAAGAGGAAGGAAGATAGAAATTGCTTGTGAGGTTAGTTTCACAGTTAAACAAAGGTGATAGCACAGTTGGACATTATTTGATGGATTGTAGTATTTTGCAGTATGAGTTTAAAAATATGTTTTATCGCCATTTTTCATTTATTATTTTTAAAGGCAATGTGAAATTATTATTTATCTCTTATTTTATGTAAATCCCGTTTCTATAAAATGCCCCATATAACAACTTGTGTTAGTGTGTGTGTCAGCTAATCTGCTTCCTCTAAAATCAGCCGAAGGACTGTTTCTCCAGGGCTGTTATGTTCCTCTAAAACTCCTCAATTTCACAGTGAATTCACTCTGTCCTCGTTGTGTAACAGCTCATTGGACTAGGATCATGGAATGGTATGGTTGAAAAAACTTTCAAACTCTAGTTTCACTTATAATTTTCTCGAAAAATCTTAATATAGTCGAGTCAATATGGTCATGATAAAATGATTGCACTGATTATTATATTCAGCATCGAAATTCGAATCTCGCCTCAGATGATAGTGAAACTATTATTAAAAAATCTGTACTGGTAACCCAACTCTGTTATCTGGCAAAAGATTTCCCATCTTTATAATAGGCAGTAGAGCTAGTTTATCTGAAATGGCGAGCATTATTGCTCACTTTTTAACATTCCACAAAACCTTATTTCCATCATTATGCATCAATTCTCTTCTACCATATCTTATATAATATATTACCATAAAATCTTTACTTGCCTAATCATATTGGCCCTATTAAATTTTTTGGCCCTTTAACTGACAAGTTCTTCAGGACCTGTTGTAACTCCCAGTACTCCCAAAATCTCCTTCAGTCCGCTTGAAATCCTCCTATATTGTTTTGCATAAATCCATTGATATATCCCTTATATTATACTTCAACTCTTAAACTCTTACTTCAACCCAATTGATAACCCAAATAGTATTTTTTGAATTAATGAAACGTGGTTGGATGACTCTACTGATAATCGGAAATTTAACTTCGATGGCTTTCTAGTTTCACTTATGGATACAACAATAAATAGTTCAAATATTCGTGGAAGTGGACTTATCACGCTTATTTCTGATTATTACAAATTTGTAACTTTTGATAATTTTGTCTATTCCTCTTTTGAATCTCTAATAACTAAAATTTATCTTAATAATAGAAATATTTCCCTTTTAAATCTATACCATCCACCTAGCTATGGAAGCAAATTCACTGGGGATCTTTACATCCTGTTATTTAGATTAAAATTATTTGGTGCCGATTATGTAATTGTTGGTGATCTTAATATGCCAAATATAGATTTGGAAAATAGCTGCTTGAAAAATAGCAGCAAATTTGAACAGGACTTTCTAAATCTTTGTACCTATATTGGTCTAAAACAACATGTTAGTCTAAAACAAAATGATTGCCACTGTCCGCTAGGTAACACTATTTTAGATGTTGTGTTAGCTACTTCTTTTGTTGATAGCGTTAGCCCAATATGTACCTCCTTCCAGATATTCTAGAAATTACGTTGCTGTGGCTGAAATGGACGGCTTAGGTCTATTTAAGGCATCATAAACATCCAATAGCATTATTTCAACTTCGCCGAGAGCAACAAATTCGATTTACGTTAAAACAAGAAGTGTGAGTATTATTCTCAACAAATAACACTAGAAAAATATTGATTAAATATACTTGCAATATCAATATTAGACGTGATCATATTATCACTATGTTGCAGAATTTATTGTTTTCACGGATTTACAAACTTTGTTTTGATGTAGGTCCAGAAAAAATTTCTATCAATATTTAAAAGTTGCACTCCTTCATTTGAGAAGTAATTATGAATGGCACTATGGAAACTTTTTAAACTTTCTTTATATGCAGAGAGGTCACTTGGCAATTTGGTTAATTTGTATTTATTATAAAGCTTTTTGACAATTTTTTAAAGAGATTTCAAAAAAATAAGAATCGATTTAATGCTTTTTTTCTTAAAGGGATATATTGCTCTATAAAATATAAAATGATGCTATTCAGAAAATAAACTTTTTCATCTATGGAGAGAGCTAAAATAAGAAATCCCTGTTTATTTCTGCGAAGATAGAATTACATGATCGCAGTGCAGTTTCTCTGAGTCTTTCCCTATTTTTAATTTATAAGGGCATTATGAAATCTAGCCTTAATCCCAAAATTTGAAAATTGTTTTATATAATTCTAATTCATAAAAAAGGAAGCACCTATGACCATTCTAATTATAGACCTAATTAGCCTAACAAGCGTTGGTAGCAAGGTACTCAAAAGGTCAATTTGCAACAAATTGCTTACTTATCTTGATGCCAATAATTTCACATCTTCTTATCAGCATGGCTTTTGTACAAAAAATCTACTTCTTCACAAATATTGGCAAATCTTTCCGATTCGTCACCATCAATTGGCAGTGGAAAAACAGTATCAGTTGTGTACCTAGATTTGTCTAAAGCTTTTAATACTATTTTCCATAGCAAATTATTGATCACTCTTAATAGTTATGGCATTACAACGGCCCTTTATAACTGGGTGTCAGATTACATAAAAGATCGTCACCAAGTTGCATGTGTCAATAACATTCTTTCTGATACAACACCTGTTAAATCTGGCGTTCTCCAAGGTAGTGCGCCATTGCTTTTTCAATTATATATAAATGATATCACCAATGTGGTACTAAATTCTACCATTTATCTTTATGCTGATGATTGTAAAATTTATTATTCTCATGGAACAGATAGCCTATCTCCACAGGAAGATTTCAACGGAATAGTCAACTGGCTATATGATAGGCAAATTACCCTTTCTTTTCAAAAGTATAGCGTTCTTCATATTAATTCTAAAGGTCTCGATTTTCCTAATTTTTTTATTAATGGTATAATCATTAGACACATTTCTGATCTTGGAATAATAATGGATGAAAATCTCTATTTCGACCTTTACTGCAGAACCATGAAATCCTCAAAGAAACTAAATTTTATTTTTCGTTCGTTTAAGAACAAAACTGAAGATTTTCATATTAAAATTTACAAATCGTTCGTTCGGCCACTTTTTGACTACGATATTATGTGTTACTTCCCGAAATATCATAAATCAAATAAAATAATTGAAGGACTCCAAAAATATTTTATGCGACGCCTTTCTCCTAATTGCGATCTTAATTATAAAGGAAACTTCTACAATATAGCCTGGATTCTCTATCAGTTCGTTGTTCGTTAAACAAGAATTTATGCTTAAGATTTTGATAAGATTTTGTATGGTTATGTTAAAATAGATTGTTTAAAATATTATAATTTTCGGTAAAATTTAAATACAACAAGAACTAATGGGCTGAAATCACTAAAACCTACGTGTAAAACTAAACTCACGACTCATGACTTCTTTATTTATACTATTAATTACTGGAATAAATTACCGAACTTGTGCCTTAGCTATCTTTTAAAAAAGATTAGATAATATCATTTATGATATTATTTAAAAAGTTCATATCATATCATGCAAGAAGTGTGAAATCTCGACTTTTACCTTCCGACTTTATATAGTACAGTTACTTCGAATTGTACTATCCTCTTTAAACTGTTAATTTTTGTCATATTTTTTATTTTTCTTATTGCTAAATTTTATTATTTGTTTTTTTTTAAACTATTGTTATTAATATGGCATATGGCATTGTCTCCCTGCTTGCCTGGTTTTCAATAAATAAATATTATATAATTCTTCATTATTGTCCTATCAAATCCCGTTCTTCCTTTCTGTTATTTAACTAGAACCCTCTAATATCTGCTAGTTTGCATCCGGATTTTTGATGAAAGGACTGGTCTTTTTCTGCTGGACTAGCACCGCATCCGAATTAAGCGACGCACTGAGTTATTCTACCTTTTTTGTTCTCGCAGTTTAGCAACAATCTACGAAGCTTATAATAATTCAGATTCGAGCTATTCACGATTCTTGGTAGTGGTGGTGATCATTAGACCACCGTCGCATCGCAACAATGGATTAAATAATTATGAAAAAATTTCACCAGTGTAACTTTTTTAATAAATTTTTCTTGTGAAGTTTTTCCTTCACTTAACGAATGAACTATGAAAAAATAAGAAGATAGGAAATCAACAGATGAATCTAAATATATGTTCAGTGTCCGGCTAAATTTATAATATATATATACTCATATATGGACTCATCTAAATTTCTATAGCTAAGTGATTCTCTGGCAAAATTTGTTTCTTCCGATAAGCCAGTGGAAGGAGAAATGGTAGGCGCTCTTAAGAAAAGAAAACGTAATATATCGTAGATTTTCCTCAAAAATATATTCAGCTATGCGAGTTATAGATTGATTTATAGATTTATTGCTTTTTATTACAACGATTTTAAATTTTCTTCAATATTTTAAATATTACTTACATATGACGAATTCTTTTAATAGAGGAACTATATAATATACAATTATAAAATAAGTTCTGAATTATAAATTATATTTATAATTATAATTATGATTTGTTGAATTATAATTATATAGTTCAAATTAAATTTACATAAATTTTTAAACCATAATTATATTAAATAAGTTTTTAAATTCTGAATTTTTATTTTATTTTTTATTTATATTATATTATATTTTTTATTAAAATTTTATTTTTAAATTATTTTATGATTGTATATTATATTTTTATATTTATATTTATCTATATTGCTGTACAAAAATATTTATATATAGAATTTATATTTTTCGTTTCAAGGTATAAACTATCTTGGATCTACTCTAATCGCAAATGGCCAGGCAAAGAATGAAATTGCAGCCCGGATAACGACTGCTAGAAATATGCTTTTTCGGTTGATGAAACCTTTATAGGACCGTCGCGAAATCACCATAAAGACGAAAATCCGCGTCCATATAATTGCAGCTCGTTTGCAGCCTGCTATATGGCTGCGAAACATAGCCATAGAGTGGAAGATATTAAGAAGCTATTAGCCTTTGACCACTTATGTCTAGAGTACATTTTACGGATCGAGCGAAAATCGCACATGATTATATCCCCTTTCACTCAAATACCACCTGTATTAATAATGTTATCACAGAGCATCGCCTTTGCTGGTTAGCGTAGTTCTTCGTCGTCCACAGGAGTTAATACATATATCTCGTTAATTGCTAAATCCTGTGTTGGTCGACGTCAAAAGCGAGGAGTGCCAGTCAAGACCTGGACCGATACAATCAGGAAAGATTTTGAACTTATAGGGGGACCAGCAGTATATGGACTTAGACGATGGAAAAAGGAATGGTTTCTATTACTACTAGCGATGACGTCGAATCAAGTAGCTTGGCGACGTCTTACCCTTATAGCCATTGGAGCCAGTCTGTCCAGTCATGGTGAGATCTGTTAGATGAAGAAGAAATTTTCGTTTATCTGTTAGGCAAAATGAACTTCAAATAGAATTAAAAAATAAATTTCTTATTGGATTGTTGTTGGATTGGATTTAAGGATTATGGATGTGAAGTTTTTGCCAAAAAATTTATCAAAATACTTAAACAGCTGGAAAACAGTTTTAAATTAAGTAGAGATTAAAAGTTATACTATTTCAGCTTAGTGGAAGTGGTTATGGAATTTTTTCGTAAGAATTTATGTATTACGTTATGTAAAACTAGAAAAATGATTCGACAGAATCGTCTTTAAAGCTTATATCCCTTGTAATTCTATCCAAATTTGTAATATTTCATCTATTAACATCCATTCACTCGAATCCGAGTTATATATCTTTTCACAGTTTCACCATTGCTCACACTCATACTTTCTCTCCAGTTGCACTGCCTCAACATTCCCAGCCATTGCCATATTACCCTTTGCGATTTCACATTGAGACATTGAGATTGAATAATATTAAAGAACTAACTAAGTCTTAGTGGATTAAAGTGATAGAAGTGAATTTGAGATGAAATTACTAATTGAATATGGCAAAGAAAAAACTTTGAGATGTTTGGGATTTTTTAGTAAGATGGGAAATTTTTCACAGAAGGTGAGATTTGAGAATATCGGAGGGTCTCAATCAGTTCGAGGCCACATTTCCACTGTATGCACTACGCATGCACTAACCAGTCACTTTTTATGTCAGTAGGTATTATAGGTGTAGAACAACTTGTAATGATATTGTATGTTTATCAAGTTATCAAAATTTTCTAATTTAGTAATAATTCTTTGTCTTTTAAAGGATTTTTTTCGTTGAGGTAAATGCAAATGTGCTCTTATATGGTTTATCGCATTTTTCGATTTGTCGCTCCTTAGTTCGCTCGCTCATTTATCAAATTTGAAGGTTCATGAAATTATGGAAGTATTAGGAAAAACCATTTATTCTTCATATTTTTTCACCTGAAATCGATAAATTTCCTTTGAAATAAATGCAAAATAAAGGAATATATTGACGAAATGAAAAAATAAATGCAAACGTTTTAAATCACCAATCATTTTGTTTTTAATTAATTAATTAATATAACTGATGTTGATCGAAAGAATATTTTGACCCAACGTTTATGGTTTATGGAAAAAAAGCAATATTTTTTATAGTAAATAAAATATTTTTTTGCTTTGTTAAGCTAAAGATTTTACGAGAAATTTCTTTCAGGTTTGTGAAATGTTGCAAAATCATTTGGATGATTTTATTTTGCATGTGCGAAAAGGTGATAGTAATCAGTTAGACGTCATTGAAGAAGAGGAAGAAGAATCTGAGACAACCACTACACTTACTTTCGGTGATAATAGTAAATTAACAGTACAACGAGTGGACGATTTGAAGAGATTATCAACTTTAACCAACGATACATTATCGTCATCGGTTGTTGAAGATGGATGATGGATGCACAATAATTACATTAATGTAAGTAGTATTTCTCCTATTTTACAAATTCTTAATAAGCAGGTCGATCGTTTCTCTTATCGTTATTATTCGTCAACCAACTTCATATCATTTTTTTCACTGTTTGCACGAAGAAAACTTGTTTAATTTATGATTTCGTTTTTTTTCAAGTTTAAACATGCAGTTGAGTGTATGTATATGCATGTATGTATATGTATGTACATATATCATAAGCTGAATATGATAATTAGACTATCTTTTATGGATTTGAATGAATGATAGTATCTTTCTTTCGTCCTATCAATGATAGTATCTTTCTTTCGTACCATTTATCAGTGAATCACTTGCAAGCTATTTTTCTCTTCTTCTTAACACCTGTCACCATTACTGGTTAAGCTGGTTCCAACGACTAAAGGGTAATATCTGAAGCGAGTTCCAATATTTTTGTTTAATGTCAGCTATTATCATTGATGTAAATGAAACAGTCGACTGTGACGATGAATAAAGTGGGAAAAATGAGCAAAAGAGCATATTCCGTTATTCTGGCATTCATCTTACAAGAAATTAATTGGTGAAGCCACTTACTTAGTCTCTTTCTGTCAAATTTCAAATTTCAGTAAATTTCAGTAATTGAAGCCAATTAGTATTCCTTCCGGCAAATTTCAAATCCAGTAAATGAATGAACTCTCGATTTATCTTAATTTTAGCCAACTATTTATAGCCATCATTTATTTTTTTACAGATCTAGCAACTCGCATCGTTACCGGTTAGATTGGCTGGGCCGGTTATAAGAGTAAGATGTCCCCAATCTGCTCGGTTCGACCCGTGCCTGAGCCACTCATTTTTTTTCACCGTCTTAACGGCGTCTTCTGATTGTATCACTTTAGGCTGATTGGCTTCCGATGCCGAAGCGCTTAGCAGATGTTCTTCACAATGCTATGTCATCAGATCTATTTATATGTAATACAACACATCCAAATCCATTTGGATATTTACGTTTCAGTGCTTTTATCTATTTCATCTAATGACATTTTCCATATTGTTGGTGTCATTTTTGGCATCAATTTATTTCCTCTCTTTCGGTTCGTTTCTTTTTCTCTTTTTGTTCATTTTCTTTCTCGTTTTCCTTTCGAAATTCACTTTCTAAGTATTTTCCTTTTCCTTTCCCTATTAACAGATGGCAAATTCTCAGGAATAAATTTTTTTTCGCAGAAACTTTCCCCAAAAAATTTCTCTGCATTTTTACATATACTTTTTTCTTTATAATTGTCTAAATCCTCTAAAAGTTTCCTTTTCTTTCTTAATTTTGATCAATCATTGTTGTTGAATTTCGCTGAAAAGAGATCAGATTGCAATATATAGAAAATTATTTTTGGGAGGTAAAAGATGAAAAGGGATCTTATTTATCACGAAAGAAAGATAAAAGGAAAGGGAAAATATTATAGGAAAATGGGGGAAAATGCGAAAATGATGACCAGTTTAATACTTTAGACGGGACGATGAGTACTTATGGAGGTATAAATAAGAGGGAAAGAAGAGGGACAATAAAAAATAATAAAAATTCGAGTTCCAGAAAATTATAAAAAAATTATTTTACAGGTTCTTCAATCGGGTATAAGCGATTTCATTTGCATTTAGCTCTTACTTTTTATCCTTAGAAACTTATCCTTGCAACTTTATTCCTAATTTTTTGCCTACAATACCTTGGTAGCTTATCTTATCCTCAGTGCCTTCATTCTACCATACATATATATATAATAATTGTTTTATAATGCACTTCTACAATTTAAAATATATATTATGTATCTGCATTTATTTTTTTTTAAATTTTTATTTTAGTGAAATCATCTTTTTTTAGTGAAATCTTTTCTGTAAATAAATATTGAAAATTTGCTATAGTGTATGTTATTGTGGTAATTATAATTGTAGATCGATGTAATTATGCTAATAAATAAGTAATTTATTTTTTTTACTTTACTTAATTGTTTAGTTGTTTACTTCAATTTACTCGAAGAAGGAAAAGAAAAAGAATGCGGCAATTAGTACCACTAATATCGTTAACTATATGTCACTGCGGATTCTTTCAACAGTTCTCACTGTTTTATCTGGCTTGTTCCACTGATTAATCGAATTAAACCTTCTTGATAGCGAGTTATTTTGGATGAAATTTTCGGAATCGTGAATTTTGCTTGAATTCAATCCAAGCAATAAGATATCACTCAGCTTTTAATGTTATCGTTATTATTAGCATTGTTATTATCACTACTGTGATAAGAAAAATTAAAAATAAATTAGTAATAAATAAGAACATGGCAACGAATTGACAACAAACGAGGCAATGGATATTGCAAATCACCCCAATTTGATAGCTGAATTTCCTTCCCATTCTCATTTGTCGTATTCATTCAGATAAATGCAAATATTCATTTTTGGTCGCGTAGAATGATTTATTATAGGATCGCCGTTCGCTATCGCAAATATATCGAAATATGCTCGATAATAATTATCTTAGCTTTATCCCGTTTTAGGGGCGTTAACTGATCATTCAAGTAACATATCTTGCAATTATATCTATTTTTGAATTCCCCTTAGTCCTCTCAGAAATTTTAAAGACGCATTTTGCAGGGATGTTTTTAATTTCTCATTGGCAACCTAAGATACTAAAAAATTAAAATTCGCTTCTTGAAATACAAAGTCTAGATGTATAGAATTTTTTTTAGACTAGTTCCACTGGCTTGTTGGACTAAGCAAACTTGTTACTTAGCGGTAGAAGTCGCCAGCACATGCAGCTCTTTGAAAGTTTGTCTGAGTGGAACCACAGCATTAGCGCTTTGAAATAAAGTAACCTGCTGATCCATTCTGCTGCACGGATATATAGATAATACTAAAAATTATCAAAGAAAATTGCTTTTAAGGTGGAAAAATATAAAAGGGAATGTTCATGAAGAATCGGTTTGAAATCTTTTATGGAAAATAATATGGGAAATTAAAATGAATTTGCTACGGAAATTTTTAGTTTTTATGATTGAAATTGTCCAAAAAAATGTGCAATTCTATTTTCATTTTCGGTTTATTCAACACATAGAAACTTCATTTATAAAACTTAATTTTTGGTACAAAGCAAAAAGCGTTTAAAGATTTGCTATTATACGGTTATTGTAATTATATCACAATTATGATTTAAAATAATTTCATTGTAAAAATGAGATAACTGTTGAGTAAAATTGGATTCCATGAGATTGTTTTGAAGGTCAAATAGAAGTGCAATAGAAGTGGAAAATGGTAAGTCAAAATGGCCAAAAATAGCAGTGGGCTATGAAGACAAAACAATTAATTATAAAATTTCTTGCTTGAGATGAAATACGAAAGGAAACCGCGACTCCACAGTTTGTTCCTCGTTTAGTTCAAATGCATTATCTCAGCATCAGATTATTTTTCTAAATAGACGAACATTCGGCTATCATGAAAACTTAAAATCTAACTTCCTCACATTTTTATATTGCATTATGTTATAATGTATATCTTTATGATTTTAGCAATTTTAAAATTGCAAAATATATTGGTTTTTTTTTTTCAAAAACGTTTCAGATTTTCATTTATCTCTTGGTTATCACATTATCATTTCTCCAGAATCAAGGAAACATAGACAAGCAGAAACATAAACAAGCTCACAAAATTTTATGAATATATATATGTATATATATAGTGAAGAATAGTGAGAAGTATCCGCGCCTATCACTTGCTAGTTCAACTCTTTAAACAAACCTTACATGGTTCATTTCCACGGCAGGAGATCCAATAGCGTCGGTATAGCAGAGTGGTTGAGGTGAGCGGTTTATTTGGAATGTAACAACAGCGGTTCGCAACCAAGCATCTTCATCTTTCTGGTGGGATTCTTGGACAAGATCCTCTGAAAGCTTACTTACCATACCTCAAATTGAGACTGTGCCATATTAGAGTTAGATCGGATATTGCCTAAATTAATAAAATTCGCGTCAAATGTTGAGGAACCTATCTGATGAAAACTGGGCTGTTGGAAAAACGCCAAGTAAACGCCAAGTTTGTGGAACCAGAGGAGTATGGTGCTAAAAGAATTATTGGAACAAACCTTGCATGGACCAATTAATCTGAAATTGATGGAAGGGAAATTGCCCTTCAAAATCGCCAATAAAGCAGAGTAGTTGATATGAAGATAAAAAATCATGAATCAACTGGCTTACCACCAGATAATAGGCTTTAAGATGAAAATAGAATCCTCACAGCAATTCCTACTGCCACTATAACAGAAACAAATGAATGGGAATGCGCTACAACCACTATAATTCCGGATATGTCGCCCTTGGAAAAGGAGGCTAAGGTCATGGCATAAAGCATAAAAGTTAACCAGTTAACACAGATTGTAAAGATTGTTGCTGACCACAATTGATGATATCCAGCAGTAACTCAAAAGCATAAGAAGTTGGACAACATCTGATCTGGATGATCTACATCTGCTGGCTGAAGAAGCTAATAGCTGTTCATAAGTGCCTAGCAAATGAAACAGCTGCTTGTGGCAGGTTCTCACTCTGACTATTTAGATTGCTTGGAGAAGGAAGGACGATACTGACCATGAGAAACTTTCAGAAGGGTAACTACCGACCAATAACCGACCACTCCACAAAGTGAAGAGTGCTTTCAGGCACCACAGTCGTCAAGCTTCGAGGCCATATGATTCAACACATGAATATAGTTCAAAAATGCATTGGGACACAATACTAAAGGCTCCAAACACCAGCTGCTCATAGATAAGGTAGTCTCTCAAGTGTCACAATCCCGACAGATCAATCTATGCACGCACATCTTGGATTGACTATAGAAAAGCCTCTGATTCATACATGGTCTGTGAATGACTGGCTCTACACAAAATCAACAGGTTTCTGAAGAGAATTTCATCGAAAATTCAATAAGACTGTGGAAAAGGCACTTAAAGTCAACCAAGTTGCAGCATTTATCAAGATGACTCATTGCCTTCCCCACTGTTCTGCATAGGTCTAAACCCCTTCAGTCAGACAATTAGGAGGAGCAGATATGGATACAAGTTCAATAATGGGACTACCATTAGCCTTATTTACATGGATGTCGTCAAGCTACAAGCTAAAAGCGAACAAGACATTGACTTGTTCATTCATCTAGCCTGAATCTACAGCAAGCACATTGGGATTCCATTCGAGTTGGAGAAAAGGTGGTAGTAACGAGAGGGAAAGCTGCCATCAGGACACAGAGCAGAAATACAGACTGATTAGAAATATCTTGATATCCCACAGCCATACGGCAACCACGAAAACAAGGCAAGGAAGGCTGCAACTCACAAGCATCATCGAAGGATAATCTCAAAGGATCGTCCCAAACAATCAGTCCCAGGGGGGAAAATCCATAAACATGTATGCTAGTCATCAGACACGTAGCGGGCACAGTGGGATGATCAAAGAGGAACTGGATACTGCCGATGTAAAGGCCACGAAACCTCTTACATGGAAGATAAAGGTCACTGACCACTGATTGTTGGAAATTTCTCAAAATTTCTGCGTCTCGGCGCTTCGAACGATAAGTTCTTTTTTCCTTTTTCAAATTTATTTTATTTTCTCTTCTAATTTTTCTATTTTACCTTCGACATGAATAAACCTGTCCGGGTAGCTGCTGGGGAGCCATCTGCAACTCTTCTCCTAAGCGAGTTTATGGTGGAAGAATACGATTTTCATGGCAGAAAGGCATAACAAAGTAGCTGTGATTATCTACAGGAATTTCTGCTCAGCATGTAGTTTGGAACCAAGATTAGATGGAGATTCCCAAAAAAATCGTGGACAATGATTAGGCGGAGTGGGACTTTCCTAACCAAACAGACCAATCAACCAGATACGGTGTCATTCAGCACTGGTGATTGATATAACAATACCAGGGAAGGAATATCAATGAGAAGGAATGTGAAAAGTTAGAGAAATACCGAGGGCTGAAAGAGGAACTAGAGAAAATGTGGAAAGTAAAGGCCAAAATAAACTCAGTGATAATTGGAGCATTTGGAACTGTAATCCCCAGTTAGAAAATTTCTCAGTCCAGAAGAGCCTATTGCTAGCAACAGCTAAAATATTCCTCGCAGAACCCCCAATCTCCCAGGCCTTTAGTATATGGCCTGGGGCTGAGGATGATGTCCACCCCCACTCAGCCAGAACGGCGACGACTCAATAATAAAAAACATTCCTCATCTTAAACATTTTTTAAAGAATCTATCGAAACATAAAAGCTCTGTCGACTTCTACTAACTTATAATTCATGTGCATTGTTCTCTTACGTTTTGCACTGTTTGCAAGTGGAATGAGCCAAACGAGCGACGCGGCGCCGTTCGAAGAAGGAGAAGGGGATTGAATTAGAGAATACTTGCTGGCACTTCAGTATTCAAAACTGTAAACTAATATTTATATATACACAGAAATTAAACGATTTTGCACATCGGAAATGCCTTTCATCTTTTCAAAATTTAAAAAATCATAAATGTCAAAAAAAAATCCGCGAAAAACTTTTTTAGTTGTGCAGTGGTGCAGTTCGTTGTATAATAACGAATCGTATGAATTTGGTTTTCCCGTTCAAATTTTATTAAAATTATCTTTTTTAGGGGTGGAATGGCTAGGAGGGTGGTACTGCCAGTTGGAGCGTAGAATGTTGCGGCTCACCTGGCTCGTCTTCCACGATCTCTCTGGTGGAATTCGTCTGAGTCAGAGAAGGAGCGGAATGAGCCTAACCAGAAATGGTAAACACTCATTCATCAACGTTTATATTGAATTCGGCAATTGAATTTCTGATGCATAACCAGATCGAAACAATGGATCGAAAAATTTGTGGGGACTGTAAAAGACAAAGGTCTGATGATATGAAGTGACTTTGGCTTACGATCACCGAGTCGTTTTGTTTTACCGCTCTATTGTAATTTGCCTTAATCTTGATTCGGTGCAACAGCACAAAAAGGAGGCTTACAAAAGCGAAAAATGGCTAAGTGGATTGTTCTTCTCATTTTAGAGCGCCGATGATGGAACTTCCTTCTCAGCAGGAGGAAACCTTCTAAAAATCCATATTCATCAGTACCTCTAAACGATCCCCTGGCAAAATTGCCTAGCTAGAAAATATACTGTCAAACATATTGCCTAAAACATACTGAACATATTCCATTCATCTAGAAATAAATTAGAAAATAAGAGAAATTTATATTGAGGAAAATAATTTACTTCATGAATTCTTATCAACTGTAACTTCTATTTCCCAGCAGATCCCGTCGCTAATTAGCTATTAAGACTCTTATAAATTTTCTTGAGGATGATGAAAGAAAAATATTCGTTTTAACCCACTTTTTCGGAAATATTTGTACAGTCGGTCCGTCTACCTTACTCGGTAGGAATCTAATCCTCGTTGACTGCTCATAAAGCAACTGATCCTTACACCACGAATATCCAACAGTTCATTAATAGATTTCCATCCTTAGAGAATTGTCGTCCTATTTCTCTCTAAATCTTTTTCTCAAACATACGAAGCATTTCTCAATAAGTTGTTAAAATTAAATTGGCGATTAAACCAAGCTTTAATAGGTCTAAATATTGCCTGGCTTGGGCTTCGCCCTTTCGAGTGGCCTTAAATCCAAGGCTATTTAAGACTAATTTTAACAAGCTTTTATTCGAATAAAATATATTCAATAAAAAAGTAAAAAGAAAGCAAAAATTTTATTATTATATTTTCCATCATTGTAAAGAAAAAGCTCCAGATGTTTTCTTGGTCTTCTCGTTAACTTCTCCGTTAAAAACTATCCGTACCACGCGACATCATTCCATATCATTCACCGTCGTGCACCTCGGATAATTGTATGTTTATTTGAAATAGCAATATATACGCGGGTCATCCATCGCACAAAATAAGATGAATATAAAATGAAAATCATGAAAATGAATGAATTGGAGCAAAAAGAGATAAAAGAAAAGAAACAGCCACTTTTTGGCTGAGGTCGACTCTGCTTTATTGACTGAAATTGTTGGCCTTGCTTCATCGGATCTTTCATTTCCTGCCAAATGAATCGCTCACTTGCGAACACAGTTATTTTTCGATAAAGTTTCATTAAAAGCCGAAATAGCAGAAATTTTTTAAATTTTCTGCCTTATATTCATCGCTTAGTCCATATTTTCACCAACTGAAATACCGTTTTGACGAAATTTGTTATAATTTCCTGGGAGGTAGAAAATAAGCGTTGCTGTTATCAAAAAGTGGGCAGTGTATGCAAGACCTTATTTACCTTATTTACATCGTTGCGCGGCCTGATTTCCGCTGCCTATTTGACGCATAACCTGGCGTTTGTTTGTAGTTCTGACCTTCGGGAAAAGGACTCGCATTTATCAGCGATCATTGATTCCTGTTGTATTGTGGACTATCGATTTATTTCTCTCGTAATAACCGATCTTGTGAGATAAATTCCATCGTTAATAGCCATTTCGTAACACTCAGACGCTAAGATAAGTGATGCAGTGGTCCTAGAAAAAATCCAAACAAAATCTTACAATTCCCGTTAAGCTACTAAAACGATGTTGCGGCCGGGCCGTCGATTTCCCCGAATTATTTGGTATTCTAACAATCAGCTGCAGCCGTTTGTAACTCGGTAAGCATTTTGAGAGATGGATTATCTTCATCGTCGTCATCATCATTGAATCATCGTCATCTGTTTATTATTCGCTTCACTTCCTTTATTCTCTTGCTTTCAATTTTTAAAATAAGTCACATTTCCATTCCGCGAATTCATTTCGTAGTTTTGGTACCATTTAAGCATATACCGTGCCATTCCTAATGATCGCTTCGGGGGCCAAATCGAGGCCCTAATTTCATTAAAGCATGGATCCAAAGCTAGCACCAGGTTAATCTCATTGAGGCATGGATCCAAAGCTAGCGTCAGATTGGTCTCATTAAGGCATGGGTACTACATCGATTGGTGTGGTTGGGTTGCGCCTTCAATGCCTCCACTCCTTTGGTCTCTTTATCGTCTAAAAGACTTTATAATAAATAAATATTAAAAGAAAGCAACTTTTTTGTAGCAAATTTGATTGTGCGGTAAATTTTTTGCTCTTTAATACGTTAAAAATATTTGGGTATATTTTTTTTCAGTAATTTATTATTATTTATTAAAGATTGTATATTATTTATATATTATTACTATTTGATAAACTATCCAAATTGATATTTAATTGATATTGTTTAAAGAATACATTTCAGGTCTCATTTTCAGATAAATAGGAAAAAAACGAAGAAAATCTATCGTAATGAGTATCATAAATCATTCAGACATGGAAAAAATCGTTCAAAGGTTGGAAGCAGCAACACTTCGATTAGAAGCACTAAGTTCGCAAAAACCTGTTTTAGCTCCAAAACCTGGAATGAATACAATGTCGCCTACATCATCATCCATTTGTATGTTTTTTTAGAATTATCTTTTTATGTTTGTTTGATTTTTTATTTATTTTTCTCTTTTTATTTATTTTTATTCCATATTTTAATGTTTTTTAAATGATTGTTTTGAAATTTCTTTGCTTTTTTATTCCTTCTTTCGAAAATCGCTATTTGGATTTTTCCAAAATTCATAGAAAGCATATCTAATCAAAGTCATATAATTTTAATTATCCCGATAGCTTTTAATTATATATGTCGAATAATTAAATTGATATCATTCAATTATTATTATTTTAAATAGATATTCAAATATTTCAAAATATTTTAATGACTAAGTTTTATAAACTAGCGACATTGATCATTAATGCTGTTCATTGATACGTTTTTTATTAAATATTTTTTTCTATTATTTTTTAGATAATCTATTAGGTAAATTAGAAGATGGCTATCGAATACATGACCTTTCCGCATCCTCAAGTTATCCTTTCTGAAAGGCTCTTATTTTACAGTTTATGGAAACCAAGAATGATGGATATTTTAAAAATATGGAATTTTTAATATCTAAGGAAATCCATTTTTTATTATAACTGTGCATGTAGAAAAATTTTTTTCAGATAAAATTTGCTTCATTGAAATTTCCTCTATAAATCGATATTTTACTTTATTTATTATTATACAAATTTTTTATATTTTTATATTTTTACTAAATAATATTTTATTATTAGAAAATTAGAAAATTATATTTTATTAGAAAATTCAGATATTTTTTTATATCTCCGTGAAATTTTATATCTTCCGCTTGAAATTTTTTTATTCACTTTCGAAATTAAATGAAACAATAAAGTTATTAAAATTAATAAGATTAGAGGGATAATCGGCAGATTAAGTCAATAGGACTAAATTTGCTTTTAAATGAGATCAGCGGTGGTTGGTTTTTTTTTTGTTGAACTTTTTTATTATTTTAATTATTGCTTTTTGTAAGAGCGCCCATAATTTTGAGTTAGGCTGACTTTGTTGTTGGACAGAGTTAATTTTGTTAGGGAATCACTTTGCGATCGAAGTGCAGCTGTGTTTTCAGTAGCGTCGGAAATAAAATTTTTATTTGTTGATGCTGAGAGTAGAATTCCAGTATCGGTGCTCTAAAATAAGATCAAAACTCATTCAGCCATTGCATGTGATTTGCTAAAAAAAAAATTTGATTTTTTATAATATTTATAGACAATAGAAGACTTTTTTTTAATTAAATAAAAATTCATTTTATTATTCGTTTATTTCGGAAAATCAGATTCTGTGATGCCAAGATTTATTTTCTCTTCGAAATATTATAAAATAAATAAAAACATTGGAATTTTATTTTAAAAGACAGAGAAAGCAGATTGTTAGTGGGCGATATAACACTACAGCGCTACTGCAATCATCTTGTTGCTAAAACTTCTGCGCTGTTTTCTTCTATTTTTATTATTATTATTTTATTATTATTATTACTGTTACTATTATCATCACTATTATGTCTATTGTTATTATTGTTATCGTTATCATATTTTTGCTACTGTATACTGGAAATATATTTGATATTTTTTAGATTTTTTTTTGATTTATAATATTTTTTTTAATTTACAATATATTATTACTCGGAAAAATTTTTTGTTCATTTGATTTCTAATAATTCATTTTAAATAATCTAGGTTATTAGTTCAATTCACTGATTTTTTGTTTAGATGAACATCTGTAAATGATTTTGTGTTGATAAGAGGAATATATTAGTATCAGTTGTTTTGAGAATGTTTTTGCGCGTTTTATATAATTAAAATAATAATGGAAAAAAATATTATAGATAGAATATGTTATATTGGGAATATGCTTAATAATGTAGTTCACCGATAAAACATCCTCTATTTCAAATTTTATTCGAGTCGAAATATTCTACGAAATATAAAAATATTCGAAATTTTTTATAAAAAGAAAGAGAAACAATTTTTAAAATGAGTTATTCAATTTTATTTGATAGTCCACTACCGTATGGACAACATTCAACATCATATCGCTCATTTGAAACTATTAATAATGGTAATAATAAAAGTAATAGTAATGATAACAATGCGACAAATATGCAGTCGCCCACTGGTCATAATGGTCATCTATTTACCAGTCAAATCTCGAAAATCACACAAATATTTCCATGTGAGATACGACAAAGTAACGATGTAGGAAAGCAATCGCTGCTAGATGCAAATCTACGAAAATTTCAACACGAATTTCGAAGGAATAATAAATTAAAATTTAAAGAAAGTAATTTAAACGATGAATTAAGAACGATGAATGAAATTGCACGTTCTGTTCAAATTATACCAATTCATTTTATAAATATCGAAGAAAATCATAAATTTTCACCTAAAATTTTCGATATTAGAAATTCTCGATTTATTGAATCAAACGATAAGAAAAGACGAATTAACCAATCGTTAATTCCATCTAATATTATTAGATCAAGAAATGATAAGGTTTTATCAGAACATCGAGGAGATAATAATAATAGCAGTGAAGAAATTCGCAATTATATTCCTGTACGAAAAGAAAAGAGCTTTTTGAATCCAAAAATGTTTAATCCATCAAACATTCATTTCAACGGTGCCATTGCTGATAAAAATGATATTTTTTCCAATCCTTGTATGAATTATTTTAATAATAATTATAATGACAACAGTATTAATAATAATAATATTAATAACAACGGCAATTATCATAAGTTATGCATTAATGGTTTTGGTAATAAAGGAGAAATTCGTGTTATTCCATTTAAATTTCCAAATTTTAATGAAAATATTAGTGAAAATAAAAAAAATGTGATATCAAAATTAGGAACGGAAAATTTATTACCCGTTAATAATGCACATTCATTTCCATTATTAAAAAGTAATGAAAATTGGAAATTTATTGATTCGTCGAAAAATTATCAAAAATTAGTTGAAATGAAAAAACCTCGAAAACGAGTCGCATTTCAATTTGATTCGAGTGGTGTTCATGGTGAATCTCATCCCAATAATTTATTATTTGTACAAAAAGAGAAGTATAGCGCAAATTTTAGTAAAGCATCAACTGGTAAGCATGATATCGTTATTTAATAATATTTTCAATGAATGATTTCAATAGTAATTAAGATCATTAGAAGTAGTAAATAAATATTAGTACCAATATATCTACTTTCAGCCTATCTAATTTTCGCCATTTTTAAGTTCTTTAAATTCACCATTTTTTCCATAGTTCGTGTAATCAGTCATATTCATTATTACTTTTTTTGCTTATTAGAGTTTTTTTCTTTTAAATTTTGAATTTTTTATGGAGAAATTATGGAGAAAAATTTTCTGCGATATTTTTTTTTTTTATTAATCGTTTTCTTTTAGCAAATGATGGAGGAATACCGATCGCAGTTAGCGAACACGACAAAATTATTTTGCAGCCACTGCATAAATTTTTATTTTTGAGTGAAAATCTTGACAGAGATATAAAAATTGTTGTAAGTTTTTTTCTTCCCCTGTTGATGTAAAGGTGATCAAAAATTTTTATTTTTAAGTTAATGTTTAATAAAAAAATGATACTACGCGTGGTACTGATGGTCCACTTATACTTCTATCGCCAAACGACTATTCCCTGGTGAAATTTCTTGGGTCTGACCAGTCAGCCGGAAATGATGAACGCTCTTTAAAAATGAGGAAATAAAGAGATATTTCTAGGCAACTTCTTCAATTGCATTGAAATGCTCTAAATAATATTTCTTTTAGAGCAAAATGATGGCAACAGCGGTCGACATTGAAAGAAATTTTATTTGGATTGCTGCTGGCAAGGAAGAGCCAACAGCAGAAGAAAAACAACAAATGCTTAGCCCAATGTTTGATCTGATAAAAGAAGTTAGCCAAATGGCAGAATCTAAACGAAAAGAAACAACTTCCAATCATATATCAGCAGTCTCTGATGGTATTCAAATATTTGGATGGCTAATTATGGTTTCTTTTATTTTTTCATGCTTTATAATAGTTCCAATAAATTATCATTTTTGAACATCATAAGATGGGAAAACATTTAAAAAAAGTTCTATTTTCTAGAAACCGGCAGTCATTTCTTATGTGAACGATATGATTGATGCTGCAACTTTTTTTGCAAATCGAGTTATGAGTGATTATAAAGTCGATAATAAAAATGTAAAATTCCTTTCTTTTTTCTTCTCTTCTAGCAATACACACCGTTTTTAATTTGCCTGGCGTTGACTACTAGTTGGTACCAATCTACGGTTGGACTTGACTCCAAGGTGCTGCACCATATGATTTTTATCTTAGATAATCAAAATCATGTCTTGATTTTTGTAAAAATGAAGGGATTGGATTTGTTAAATTTATTTTATCGGTAGAATGGAAATAAATTTAGAAATGTGCGATCTCTTTTATATAATACTACATAATTACAAAGTTGCATTTTTTAACTACTTTTTACAAATTGTCTTTTATTTTTAGCAAAGTCTGTAAAAGTGAGATCTATTTATTTTTATCTATCTAATATTTATATCTAATATTTATTTTTCTAAAAAAATTTGTATATTCAGCCGCATTCGAATTGGGCAAAAGCTCTTCTTGAAGTGTTGAATGCTATCAAATCGTATGTCAGTCAGTATCACTCGAAAGGGCTAATTTGGAACACTGATCCAGTGAAAATTTTAATTTTTGCTTATTTCACTGAATGTGCTTCTTAAATTTTCCTGTCGGTAATTTTTGCAGGGAGCTTCACCTCAAAAGTCAGTCTCTTCAGTCGCAGCACCATCTGGTTTATCGCAATCACCAGTTGCGTCAGCTGTGTTACCACCACCACCACCTCCACCACCACCGCTACCAGGTATTGAAAAAAAGCTTTCTACCAATTTTTATTTAATGATTTGATTTAAATAACATTTATTCAAAAAATCATGGATTGTTACTAGCTATTCATCTTTGTTTTCCAGTCTTTTAGATGGATTTGAATCGAATTGAATAGATTTGAATCAAACTGAATTCAATTCATAGGACGTAGGACTTTGAAAAAAAATCAAGAAGCTTTATTTTTCAAGATGTTTTAAATCATTGAAGGTTTTTGATGATTGAATAGTGTGATAGATCGTGTAGTTGAAAGTTGGTAGAGAAATTTTTTTTTAGGTTTAAAATGCGGTACAGATAATGCCAATGTTGATCGTGCAGCTCTTTTTGCTGAAATAAATACTGGCGAGAATATTACTAGACGTCTTAAAAAAGTGACTGCTGATATGCAAACTCATAAAAATCCTGCTTTACGAGCTCATGTAATATTTATCATATAAATTGCTTTATAGCTGAACTGCCTAAATTCAGATTTTCTTGTACTGTACTGTATATATACTAATTACTATACTTGTACTACTGTTCTACTGTTCTGTTCTTGTAAAGCCCTTGATTCGGCTGTATTTTTGATACAATCCATTAGAAGTTGGTATGTAACCAGTTATGCTTCAATTTCTATTGTCGATTCAATTTCAGAGATTTATTGCTTCAGAGATTTTTAAAAAATATAAATATTTATAATATTAATAATAATTTGAAGATTGACGAAACAAAATTTCCGAAAATAAACGAAATTTTACGGCCATCATCGGTTGCTAATAAAATTGATGTGGAGAAAACAACGAAAGCAAAAACATTTCTTGAAAATGGAAAACAGTGGAATATCGTAAGTTATCTATATTTGTTCAATGTACGGTTATGTGGATATTTATTTGGCAGGTTATGCTGTGCTGGTAGGCAATAGCTATAAAATTTTATTTTGTACTTTTTTTACATTTTTTATTAAGTATACTAAATAAAAAAGTACATTATTACAGGAATATCATAAAAACAATCAAAATATCGTTGTAGAAATAAATGATATGAAACAAACCGTATATGTATTCAAATGTGAAAATTCCATTATTCAGGTTAATCCACAAACTTGCCAATTATTTGAATTCACCAGTGTCAATTGCAATAGCAAATTGTTGATTTTTTCTAGATAAAAGGTAAATTAAATTCGATAACGCTGGATGGTTGTAAAAAAGTGGCAATTGTTTTTGATAGTTTATTGTCACAAGTTGAAGTAATCAATTGTCAGCGAATGAAAATTGAAGTATTTTATTTTTTAGTCATTTTATTTTAATAATTTAATAATTTTTATTTTTCAAGTCTTATTTGATGTTTTTTGCTGTGATTTAATCCAATGAATAGAACAATTTTGATAATTTTATAGACTCGAGGAGCTATGCCAACATTATCAATACAAAAAACAGATGGTTGTCAAGTGTTTTTGAGCAAAGAAGCGATGTCGAATGCCGAAATAATAACTAGCAAATCATCTGAAATGAATATTCTTGTACCTATTGGTGCTGATGGAGATTTCGTAATTTTTTTTGATAGTTCTCACAAAATGATGAGGATAAAATAATAATTTAACCTATTATGTTTTTCTAACGCTTTATTCTTGGTCTGACTTATAAAATGAGGCATTTAAAAAAATCCCTTGCCAATGGGTCACTTTGGAATTGAATTATAGTGGGGTTGAATTAAATATAGGTGGATTCCCACCAACTATTTGAATTTGACTTTTAAAGCTTTTATTGTCCTCAATCGAAGTAAACCCTCACAGATGTGCTCACTAATGTTTCTTATTTATAATTTTTTACAATAATTTATCGTTTTTTATAGGTTGAATTTCCTGTGCCTGAACAATTTAAAACAGTATTCGATGGTACGAAATTACAAACAACTGTATCTGATATTGTTTAAATTGAAAAAAATAATTGTTTGGAAGTTTGCATATTTTCAATAGTTTTTATTTTCTGCTTTATTTGAATTCTTCATTAAATAGTTGCCTTTTGCAAATCATTTTTGTCGTTACCAAAATAATTATTGGTGCTTTTTTCCCATTTTTACGGCTTTAATTGTAGATGAATTCTACTATTTAAGTTTTATAAGTTTGTATTTTATGTGTTTTTATTTCATTTTGATATATATTGAAAGTAAAAAGTATATTCTGTAAATCCTATACTATAATCCTTTATATAGTTCAATGAGAAATTTCTCGGAACATTTTTATAACCCACGAAATTCGCCTTTTAGCCTTTATCAAACTGTACCGTTTCTTGTTTAAAAAGCTTTTCTTACACAGTTTTAATTTCTATTGGAGTTCTTTATACTCTGTTAACTTTGCTGGGGCATTCTGGCGTGTCGCTAGTATGCTATCCTATCCTAGTATGCTGCGAAGCAAAACCTCATTTTACTCTTGCACTTTTAAGGTCCGCACACTGTTCACGAAATCTCGCTTCTGAAATCTCGTTGAAATCGTTCGAATATTCTTGAAAACTTGTCAAAGAGCAAATTGTAATAGTTTTACTAATAGTTTTTTAAATATAATAATTTTTTCAAATTCTTCGCGATAATCGGTAAGTGGCGCTATTACAACTCTTTAACCCTCTGGATTAATGCCACTCATGTCCATTTCAATCTCTTGGAAGTCTCGCAATTTTTCGCCATAGGCACAATTATGCATGGTTAAATACCCAAAATATAGGGTGCTAATGAACTTCAAAACAGTTGGTCACGGTTCGATGGACTGTTAAGGGAATTTGACAAGTTCTCAGAAAATCAAGAGTTCTGGTAACTTCTGAAGACAATTCTGCCCCTCCAGAATAGAACATATCTAGTAAAAGGCTTGGTGATGTAAAGGTTCCCATGATATTCTGCTGTTAAATTTTACTTGCAGCGGTCCTAAACATATTTTCTAAGAACTTAGTTTGGGATCCTCTGGTAATTCATTGCTTATTTACTGCGTATTGTTGTGTTATATGAAATGGTGAGTTTTTGTTGCTGTCTTTTGCGATTTTTGGAGCGGTGAACTACTCAGGAACAAACGACTTTGAAGAGCGATTCTCATTTAGCTGATCAAGAAAATGGTGGAGATAAATAACAGATGGGCCAGTATGGGCCAATGTAAAAGACTGGTTTCGGTGTTTCGAGCAGAGCAAACCCGTCACTGAAAGCGAAATTCCCCCTAAATTAGACATTTAATTAGAGTAAGGTAAGTCGTAGTTAAGTGAAGTAATAGTTGGATTGGACAGTTGAGCAAGCGGTGGGTAAAAGTTTTAATTGTTTCTTATTATAAAAAGTCGTTAATTTATATTTGGAAGTTGTTAATTTAAATATTAAATATCAATATTAAAGCTGTTAAATGTAAATGTAAGTATTGATGATTTAAGCCTTCAAAACGAATAGTTCGAAAGCGTGTTGCGCCGCCGCCGGCGGCAATCGTCAAGAAGGTCGAACACAATAAAAAGGAAAAGAATCCATTGTTTGAAAAGAAACCTCGAAATTTTGGAATAGGTACGTGGATGAGTGAATTTATGAAACTGTTTTCAATTTTTGTTCGTAGATTATCATTGTTCGTTCTTTGCCTTCAGGCAGAAAACAGCAGCACTGGCTGTATTAACTATAAGAATATTTCCAAATCTTTTGGTCGGAATTACTAATTTTGTGTTTGAGAGTAGCGTAGTATAGTGCATAATGTGTTGATTGCTGTGCTGAAGGGCAGTGGAAATAAAAGTGGAAAATGGCTGTGGGGCGCCCGCAGCCCATTTGTACGTCTAATCAAGTTCTCTGGCAAAAAACTGTATAAAGCCAGCGGAATTAGTAATGATGAGAACTAACTACTTAATTCACTTTTGTTTTAAACCATGGTGCTTGAATTGAAAGGAAATACCTCGAATGGTAAATTGAATTTGCATGTGGCTAATCGTGAATTTGTGTTTTTTAGTTTCTCTTCCCGGTATTTTTCTCTTTTTCCACTTCTCTTTTTCTATTCACTTGATTTTTTAATTGTTTACAATTTCTAATTATATTATATTCTTGCTTGGTTCTTTCTTATTGTTGATAATTTTTCTTTTATTGATCATCATTAAAACCTTTCTTCGACGAGTATTCAGTTTATTTTGCCGAAAATTCTTTCAGGACAGGATATTCAACCTAAACGTGATCTTACTAGGTTTGTGCGTTGGCCTAAATATATTCGCCTTCAGCGGCAAAAAGCAATCCTACAAAAACGTTTAAAAATTCCACCTCCAATAAACCAGTTTCGTATGGCACTGGATAAACAAACTGGTTTTTCATCGAATATTTTTTGTATTTAATAAAGTTTTTTTATCAGGTACCCCGACCCCTAAGTGATTCAGTTGCTACTAATTTTTGTCATTGTCATTTGTAAAGTCACTTAATCAAGCCCACTATTAAAGCAGTAAATATTTTTTGATTACTGCATCACATTCCTTGAGGTGTAGAGCCAAGATTGCAAACCAGTATAAGAAGTGAAGATAGTAAAGGCACAAGAAAGGTTTAGTATTATATAGAAAAAAATTTGTTTTATATTTGTTATTACTTTACCTTAAAAATTCAAACATCGAATCATGGATGATTTTAAGCATCGAATCTTTTTCGTTTATTGGATAAATATCGACCAGAAACAAAATACCAAAAAAAAGAACGATTGCGTGCCCGTGCTGAAGCGAGAGTTGCCAAAAAGCCAGAAGCGGTGACAAAACGTCCACCGACGGTGCGTTCTGGTGTGAACACAGTCACAAGATTGGTGGAAATGAAAAGAGCGCAGTTGGTTGTAATCGCTCACGATGTGGACCCCATCGAAATAGTTATTTTTCTTCCTGCACTTTGCAGGAAATTCCAGGTTCCATTTTTTCATAGTTTTAGGTTACTTAACCTGCTTCATAGATGAAATTGATCTGTTGAGTTTCTTATTTTTAATTTGTAATCTTCAAATTAAACCCATTGGAATATATATTTTTATAGATACCATATTGTATCGTAAAAGGAAAGGCTCGGCTTGGTCAAGTAGTTCATCGTAAAACGTGCACATGTTTAGCTATATGTGATGTTAATCCGTATATGATATTTACTTTTTTGACTATTTTTTTACTTGTTTATTCTATTGAAATCATTTTTTTAAAGAAAAGTAAGTGAAGAACGAAAATTTCTTCAAAATATATATTTAAGGGAAGATAAAACGGCACTGGCAAAGCTTAAGGAAACAGTCACCACGAACTATAACGAACGGTCAGAAGAAATTCGGAAGCATTGGGGTGGTGGAATAATGTCAGCTCGTTCTGAGGCAAAGCGGGCCAAAATTGAGAAAGCACGTGCTAAAGAACTTGCACAGAAACTTTAAATTCATATTAAAGCCGGAATCCGTAAAATATTGTTTCACGTTGAATTTGTTGGTAATTTTTATACCAAATAAAATTATAATGCTATAGTTGTTTCTTTTATTTGACATTCGACGGCGCTTTCTTCCTTGTGGGTCTTACATCCATTCATAAGGAATGACTTTTTTAAAAGAGCCTATTAATTGTTGGAAGCAATGAAAGTAAGAACAAGAACAAGAATTATCAGAATGCTTTATACGTTATTCACCCATATGCATGGCAGATATTAAGCTAAATCGAACTACTTCAATATTTACTGAGCTAATGCTATTGAAACAGTTGTTGATAATACTTTGCATATTTAATATGTACGAGTGTTCTTTATGATATATTGAGTTCCTGAGGTATGTGCCATTCAAAAGTGTTTGCGTTGGTTGAATTTATATAGCAAATGGCAATGTGCACTTATGATTGTTTTATAAATATTTAAGTTGGGAAGTTGGAATGACTAAGTGTTCGAAGTGAAATTTCACGATATGTGGATTTGTAAAAGTGATCATAACAGAAAAGTTATATTCCTTGAAAGTTATTTAAAAAGTTATTAATTAAGTTATTATTAATAAAGTTATTAATATTTTAAAAATTTTTCATCTGTCGTATTAGTTATTTCTCCTAGATTATTGGTCAACTAAAGTCAAACAGCAGGAGTATGGTTCATATTCTCTGACGGAAGGTAAATTTGCCACCAAAAATAAAATCTGTGGGAAGACTAGCGATTCAACTTGTAGAGCTAATCACAAAAAATTGTTTGGCAAAAGGATTATCGAAAATGCATTATTCTATTGGTAAGTGGAACCAGTTGGTGCTTACTGTTTGAAAATATAAAAGATGGGTCAGACCATTTTTCATTTGAATATTTCTGAATGATGAATCTAAAAAAATTGCAAAAAAGGAATTAAAATTTTATAATACATAATTTTAATTATTAAGTAATTTGCTTCTTAATTTAATCAATTTCTGTTTTAACAATTATCATTTTAAAATTTTAATTTTATTACCATTTTATCACTTTAACTTTATCACCATTCTATAATTTATGTAATTTTATAAATTATTTTTATTACTATTTTAAGGACTCCATCAACAGTTTTAAACGAAAACAAATAAACGAATAGTTTAGTTGATAGAAATCTTTGAATATTCTACTAGAAAGAATTCATTAACGAGGGGTCAGAATAAAGCCGATTAGCGAGGTAAATTCAGCAAAGTTTACATTTTTGATTCTCTACTTCCCTGATTAAACAATGTTTTTACAGTTATTAGCCACAATATATAACTGTTTTATACTGGTCAGTTTTATAACTGACCTTTGACACGAACGCTTGAGTATCTTTTTTTTGATATTTTATTGCTTATATTTATTTTTAATTTCTAATATTTCCTTTGTTTTTTTTTCCATCGCCCATTGTTAAGTCCCAGCTTTTTTACTCATTAAACAATATTTTTATAAATTGTTGAATTTATTTGAAATTTTTTTTAAAGAATAATCACCACTGCTGATTGGGCTCGCTCAGTTGGCTCGTCGGACTAAACAAATATGCCGAGGATTGCCTTGGTAGTAGAAATATATGAGTCGTCAGCATCACCCGGATTTTTGGAGGATAGATTTTCCTGCGAGAGCAGAATCTCATCATTGGGCGCCCTTAATTGAGCAATGACTCACTGAGCCATTTTATTCTTCTTTACTTTCTTCTTTGGGCGACACTGCAGCACGATGAAGTGGAGTCCATCGGCCAGATTCGAACCCGAGCCTCGATTTTCGGTGGCAATTATATGGCAATTATCTTACCACTAATTACCGTTAAGAATACGCACTTTTTTCATAAGAAATTTTCGGTTTTCGTCAAATTTTTAAAATTATTCATTTTAATAAAAAATTGTAATTTAAATGAAATAATAATCAATATAATAATACGTTTTATTATTATTAATATATTTTATAATTAATATCATTGTTAATTATCACTATGATTAATATTTTTCCTATTTTGATAAGTATATATCGTGCACTTTTTGATTAAAATCACAAATCCGCGAAATTTATGAAATTTAGGTTGGGACGACCGATGTTCGACAATATATCTTTAGGAATTATTACTATTGATTGTTATTATTATTATTATCATTATCATTATCGTTATCATTATCATATTATTATTACCAATTATTATTATTAATATTATTACTGTTATCATTATTATTATTACTATATTAATATCCTATTATATTGTTATATTATTATTATTATCATTATTACTATTATTGATGTTAATATTATTGCAATTATTATTTAAGTTTTTCTGATATAAATGAAATAAAATTTGGTTTTTTTTTCCTTTATTTTCATTAAAAGCTTAACATTCTGCAAAACATGCAAAATTCAAATTAAATCATTTTGCACATTTTCGCATGTCTTAGATTTTAAAAAAAATTTATAAAATTACTAAATCAATTTGAATTAGAAATTTAATAACTTTTAAAATAATACTTTACTATTCATTAAATTAATTAACTTCTCAAATTCATTCCTTATTCATTATTTAATGAATAAAAACTTTTAAAATTTTTAATAATTTAATAATTTCATCGAAAATTTATTTATTGCAAAAATTATCGTGGAATAAATGAATGTTTAACCATAGGTTTTGCATGAATGATAAATTTATGAATTTATTAACACAAATTTAGAATTATTTTAGATAAAAAATTCATAAGTCTTTTAACTTAGGCTTCATAAATCATAGCTTTATCGATAATGAAATTTCATCGTCGATTTTTGTCTTTCTTTTGTTTATAATTAGGATGGTGGCGAGTGATTACTAGCAACTCAGTCGTATCTCTATTCAACACTATATGATGTCTTCATACTGTTATAGTTAGTGAGAAGCACTCTCTTGTATCTAGCGCTCTCCATATCAACGGTACCAATGATCTTTAAGCCATCCTCTGCTGAAATGATATGATTGTAATAATCAGCCAAGCCTGCAGTACTGCCTATTACTGCCATAATATGACGATGAATGGGACCTTTCACTATGGCTGCACTATTGAAACATTTTTAAACACCTAAAGCAAATTAGATAATTTAAAGGCTTTTAGTGAGGATTACTGGGCATATATAATCAATTCTACCTACTAAACATTTATTGAATTAAAAGAAAAGTAAAAAAGTCGGAAAAGGTGCTTCTTTTTCATCATAGAAATTTTAGCTCTTTGATAATAATTTACCTAAATTTTCAAATTTCAAATTTTTAAAAACTTTTTTCAAGCCGAAAATTAAAATGAATTATATATTAATTCGATTAAATTACATAAAAAAGCTCTACCTCTGGGTGATCATGATATCGTCCTCAATCTCGAGTCCCCTTCGAGAGGCCTGCGAGATTGAGGATTCTGCGCAGTATCTCGCTATTTCTAAAAGTGCGCTCTTCTGAGATAGAGATCTCTGATGTTGTTCCTGGAATCTACTGAAGTTATTTTGAAGTTTAGGTGCCACAATTACAAGTGCTCCAATTATCACAAGGATTATTATTTCTCCTTTTTTCTTACTGATATTCCTTCCTGTTGCTTGGTTGCAGCAATACTATATAACATTAGGAAGAAGGAATATGAAAAAGAATTAGAGAAATACCAAAGGTTGAAAGAAGAACTAGAAAAAGTATGAAAAGTGAAGATTAAAGTGGTTCCAAAGGTGATAGCAATACTGGAGACTGTGACTAAGCCAAGAAAGTAGATCTAACAGATTTAGAAGATAACATCAAAGATCTCTGTCAAGAAGAGCACAGATATTATGCACAGCTACAAACTCCCAAGCCTCTGCCCCTAAAATTAAGGAAGATTTATACCATTCACAAGAGTTGAAAAAGGAATTTTTTAGACCATTGGGTCATCCAGAAAGCTCTCGCAGCTTTATGTCACATCTGAATTTGGAGACGTATATTTTCACTGTTGGGCCAAAGTGCTGGATATGTTATCTGCTCGCCATGACTTCGTTTCTTGTTTCTTGAAAAAAATAGCTAAATTTGTTCCTAAATGGCAAATGATCTTATCTATAAAATCATTTGACATGCAATAACATGATATGGGACTTCTGGCACATCATGAGCATAAAGTATGCAACCGAGCTGCGAAGGTTGCTCGTAATATGCAAAGTAACTTTGCATGACGACAGTCTATATCTCGAAATATAGATCTCGAAGTATCATCTGATTCATGAAGTCCGGAAATATAGCTTCGAAATATAATTTATTTCCGGAAATGTATCATTTTTTTGAAAAATTTGACGATTTTGTATGCCTTATTGAATCTTTTATTCGTATCTCATCCATTAAAATGAGTTTTCATTTTTTTTATTTTTTCTTCCATTTTTGCCTATTTGTCCAATATAATGTTAATTTTAATTATATTAAATATTTGTATTTCTTTTGTAATCATTCCATTTCTTTATTTTTGATTCAGTTTATATAATAATATATAATAATTTGAGCATAGTAAATTTAATTAATTTTATTAGTTGAATTCGATTTTAATTAATTGGTTTACATTTTATTTTTATCATTATAATTTTTATAAGTTTTCTTTTATCCTTAAATATTTTCCTTAAATATTTTTTGTTTTTTTTCTTAAATATTTTTGTTAAATATAAAGAACTTGTTAAATATTTTTATTGGAATTATTTTTTATTATTTCATTAAATTTATTTTTTAATAAATTTATTTTGGTCAAAGAAATATGCTGCAATGGTAGAATAAAAGCCTTATTGGATTCATGGATTTTAGGCGATAAAAGCTCTATTATGAAGATGAAAATGACGAAGATTATTAAATTATCTCATCGCAATATGCTAACAAACCTAAATTTAGCTATATAACTACGAATTATATTAATTCAATTTGAACTTCCACTCGCTATATTTCCATTGTTCTTATTCTTGTGGGCCTTCATATCTCCAAAATTTCGCCAA